ACAATGATCTACATTATGCATATTGTTTATTTGTTTACTTTTTTGTTTACATTTTTTAACCAATTAAAACAAATGTCTACCATGCTCGACAGCACTATAAAAATGACTTCAACTGCATATCAACAATTTACAAATAAATATTAAAAAATTCCAAAAAAAGATAAATGGACTTTGTCAACCGAAAAAATTGTTGAAGATGCATTATACGTGTTTGGAATGAAATGCTCACATAAACAGTAAGCATTTACTTGTTGCTTTTATGTATTGTTTTGCAATTTAATATTCATTTGTTTTTACTTTATGAAAGTCTCTGTCATTCTTTTTTAATCGACCTGGACGATAAGAACTATATACAGCAAGGCATTTTCATACGTGAGGAATTAGAAGAAATTAAAAATTTTAGCAAGAAAGAATTACCATTAGTACCGGATGATCTTTTGAAGTATCTTAATAGTTTCCAAAAAGTTAGTATTTTTTTCTTAATGTTCTTCATATTGTATAACTTACTCAGACAATGTATCAAATAGTCCAATACTTCTGACCTGCGAGAATTGATCTTTCGCTCTGATTTACACGATCAACCATTCGATCGATCAAAAAATTTCGATTATGACTGGATACGCAATACTATATATAATCTGTAAGTATAACTTTGATTGTGCTATACTGTTATGCATATGATTTTTAATAATGTTGTTATAATAACAGCGTGCTTGAATATGAAGCGAATCATCTCGAAAAGGATCACCTTGAAACATGGATCATACTACATATGTGGTCGTTTATTGATAAAGCCTTCTTAGATATAGAGGGTATAGAAATTGTTAGGTAGGTTTTTTTTCTAGAAAACATTTTCCTGCTATTATAAATTTAATTAACTATTTCTTTGTAACAGAGGTGAATCATGTAGCTATGTATTATCAAATAGAAAAAATTCACAATGGGTGGTTGTATCAACAGATTCGATGAAAAGAAAGGCAATGGGTTGGCATGGAGATTTAATAATCCGGAAATGGCATACTGAATATGGGTGTAGTGAAGCTGGAAAAATATTTGAAGGGATCAATGGTACAAAGATTATTAAAGAAGGTGGTTTGAAAATGCCCAAAATGTTTAGAGATATGTTCATTGATCTTTGCAAAACTATAAAAATGCAGAAGAATAAAATTAGAAGGCTGGAAACAGTCGGTTTTATCATCTCAGGTATGTATAAGCCTTTATATTTGGTAATTCTTAGTTCGTAAACTCAATTTTATCATTTTAGGCTTGAGGATATCACTGTTGCGATTGGATTTACCAGCAGGGCATGTCTGTAGATTGTCACAGACATGGCTTTTTGAGATGCCAACTCAAATCTCTGAATTCGGTACAAAGGCTCTTCCAACAATAAGCTTGGTATGGAAAGCAAAGATAAATGTCGCTTTAGGTATTTATAATTGCCTTCATTCACTTATTTTTTTCAAACATTTTAAAGGCAATAGTGAAAAATGTAATCAAACTAATAGAGGAAGAGGATCTGACAGAAGAAGAATAGCTTAAGATGTTACAGAACTGTGATGAAAGTGGTTTTACGACACCACCACCTAGATTACAATTAATGTCAAGCTCTGTGATGCAAGAAAGTAAACAAATGAATAAGAATGATGAAGAATGAAGGCAATGTTTATTATTACTACTTCAAACTGCTAAACTTTTTTATTGTAATCGGGATCGTTGAATCACATTATTATCTAAAAATTAATAAAATGTACCCACAGTTTGAGCTTCTAATTTTCAACATGTATATGGTATATATGTGCACCGGAAAAATAAAAAAGTATGCATATAAGCATTCCCGGCGCATTTAATGCGTATATATGACAATCGTCTTATAAACACACACCTGATACTGATTATCGATGTAATCCATTGCTTATCGCAAAAGTATATGAATAAAACGATCACCTATTGATCACGGTTGCGGTCAGGGAACAAAACCAGTTGATCAGCAGAGTAATAAAAAAAATATAATATGTAAATTTATTTCCTAAAGTTAGGCTAATCATAACATGATTACGACTATCACAGCTCAATCATGGTTGATAAAATAGGGATAATTATATGAAACACACATCAATCACAAGCTATATTATGGTTGAATAGCCTGTGAAGTAAAAAATTAGATTCGAAGTTTTGAATAAATCTACTTTCTATATAAAACTGTTAATAACTAGACATGTCAGAATTAGAATTATTGAAACAGCGAATCATTGTGCTTGAGGCTAAGAACATTGAGGTTAAGGCGCAAATTGCATTGCAAAAATCACGTAAAAATAAAACATGGAAAGGCCACAGGACCCCCTTCTTTATTTAATAAAATTTTTTTTTGCCGAAACGGTATACAAATAAAAAAATATTTATTAACTTTGATCTAGAATATTTAATGCGTCCCTACAACTTAGATGACTATGGTCATCATTATCTATACAATATTGTGCATATTCTTTTGAAATATAATAAAAAGGATCACTTTCAAGAAAGTCATCATCTTCGGGATTATAGTCTAGATCATCTAAATTAATAAATTGAGATTCTTTAGCTTATTGTCTTAGCTTCTTAGCTTTAGCAGAATTTTATTGCAAAAGCAATAAGGCTATGCCTCTACTTACTACGTCTGTTTCTCCTATTATTACGTTGTCGATTGAAACTATGTGTTCTTTGGTTAGTTCTAGGGGCATTATAATTGTTAGTCTGGGGGGTATTAGGATTGTTAGTCATGGAGGTGGTGGTGTTATTACTCATGGTGGTAGTGCTATTATTAGTCTTGGGGGTGGTGATATTGTTGGTTTTGGAGGTAGTACTATCATTAGTCTTTGGGGTGGTGGTATTGTTGGTCTTGGAGATAGTACTATTGTTAGCGCTCATTTTTTGTACCTGAATATGAAAAAAATCATAGTAAGTAAAAATCCATTTTTATAGATTCTGTTAAATAAAATAGCAAAATTACTTTAAAAATAAATTATAGGCAGGTAAATCAAGTAAAAATATATATAAGCAAAAAATAATGTTATTGCTAACTTATCTTATGGACAGGAACTTGCTTATTTTTATACTGTCCATTCGCTAGATCTAGAGAACCTGCCAGAAGGAAAGTTACGTAATTAGTAATTGTAGTAGAGTAATACAATCTAGATTCCACCATGTAAAGCAACTCCGCTCGGTCATAAGTTCCATATACTGAAGCTATTTTGTTATTTTTTCTGATAAAATTAACCCCCTTAGATTCGACGATCTCTTCTGTGAAGTAAAAAAGTCAACGATCTCGATGATCTGGAAATGCCAAGTTCCTGCGACATATGAATTTTGATAAAACTACTGATAAAGAACGTTATACTCATTGCCCTTATAGCCTTTTTAAGTCTCATTCTTATTGCGGGATTGTATGTTGTATAATAAGAAAATAGTCTAAATATAAATTCGTAATATTCGTTATTAATAAAAAAATTGACTATGAGAAATGATTCTGCAGGAGAGTGATACAAACCACATGCCGATTTCACAACCTGTATTACCATTATAAACTTTATTTTTTTGTGCAGTCTAATCCATTATCACCTGCTATCTCAGCCAATTATTAGCTAATTATTTTCTACTATCAGGGTATATAACTGATTACAGTAATTGATTGATATATATTGTTTTTTTCATATAATACATATAATATAGCACATATGTTTGTTTACTGTCCCACAACCCCTACTTATGCATTATCGTTATTATTTTATACAAACTTATCAAAAATAGAGAAATAGCCCCAAAACAGAATAATAATAACATATATGTACGTATTTTAAATTCAAAGATCTGGATTATTTTAGAGCAATTTCGTGTCGAATTATCATAGTGCCAAATGTAATTAATTATTAGATAACCCGTTATGATTATTATAGCCACATATATATAAAATAGATCTAATTTCTAATTTTTAACGAAAATCCATAAGCTAATATTTTACCTTTAATATTATAGTCTTCTTAAGTGTAGTCATTGCCTTTAATGGCAGGCCCAGGATCCGACTGTTATCTCCCTGAATTTTATATTTTTGCTTTTTATTTTGCTATTGAGGGCGCGATCATCATTCTTTTACATGGGGCGTATACAAGGAGAGGAAGGTCCAACAGACTTCCCAGGTTTTAAACCATTAGGCTACACTATGTGAATGATATGAATGTATCCACCTCACTCTTTTGTTCTTATACAAGTACTGCTTTGAGGGTGTGATCGTTAAATTACTATTGTCTTTTAGTGAGGAGAAGAAGATCACAGGCTTCTCGCGGTTTAGTCCACTGAGCTACGAGATGAGAAATAGTTCAAATGTATTCACCTCGCTTTTTATTTATTATACTTCTTCCTGGAATAGTCATGCAAAAAATTTCGTCTTTATTAAGCGATAGAATCTTTGACTTAATATATTTAATCGATATTCATTCATTACAATATCTCTTGCAAAAATTGAATCTGGAATTAAGGAAGTATTAAGTTAATAAAATCTAATAGGTCTAAATCTCTAAATTTGATATAAATCACATAATCTCTAAAAAAACTATATATAATATGTTAAATCACTTAATCGTTAAATATAGTCTATATAGATAAATGTCCAGTTTTGAGAGATATTGAATAGAGAGATAACTGTTGATTTCCAGTAATCTACAAAAGTGAAATACTATCTGATTGGAAGACCAGAATCTGGGATCAGTTGACTAATTATAAAAATAATAATCGTTTAACTGATGATAAAAAGCGATATCTTATTGCCAGAAAAATGAAATATTTATGGGAAGGCGATCTTAGCCATACTGTAGGCATAAGTATAGCTATATGTCATTCGTACAATGAACTAGTTTACTCTAAAATAGGATGTGGGTATGAGTATGGATTTCGTCATTTTATGGATTAGCATTGGGGCACAAATTGCACAGGAAATGCTTATTGTGATATTAGTTATAAAAACTATATGGAACTTAAAAGCAGATCCGAAGTTAGCAACTTCTACTTCGAAAAAAAAGCAATTTATTGTTATAAATTGTGAATGCAAAATGCTATCAGAAGAGTTAAACGTGCAAGAGAGATTGGGAAAAAAATTCGAGCTGTAAGGGTTATACAAAAGAAATTTATTGAATATTATTACCGACCCTCTGGCCTTTGTGCTACATGGTTAGTTGAGCATTATAAACTCTTATGGGAAATTAGAGAGGAAACGCGTCAAATTAACAATGTATAGCTTAATTTATTATAACATGTATCCATTTATTCGATTTATTAATATAACTTTTTTTGTATAGAGTTGTTGTCCACCATTTTCCTAATGCTATTCTTGAGATCACAATTGGGTAGTGCACGAAGTGAAATAAAAATCTATGAAGTGCATACTATAACACTATAGACTTTTCATTTCGATTTTTCAGGTTCAAAATTTGTGTGCTCAGCAGATAATGCATTTTTTATTGCAGAGCAATGGTTCTTTGAATCTATCTTGCGTTTTTGCCATAATTCTATCTCTTTTTGCAAATCTAGTGGAGTATCAAACCTTAGCCGAATTGCAAGTGGATCATCCTCAGGCCTATCTAGATCAAATACAATAAATTCGCCTTTGCGTAAGTAGCTGTTAATAACCATTGATACATTTTTTACGTCATCTGTATATCTACAAATAATTTTAGAAACATTTTCATATGAACTACCAGAATTAAAAAGTACTAAATAATTAGCATTTTCACGCATGAATGTAGTGATTTTATAATATTTCTGTGCTACAAATATATATGAAATATTTTGATATCGCCCATTTCCAAAAAATTGGCCAATTCAATTCTGTATATGTTTTGAAGCAAGACACAAATCCTCAAAAACAATTGCTGTACTTCATTCAGGTAAAAATACTTTTACACTAGGGATTTTTTCTGGTGATATATAGCTAAATCGTATATTTTCATAGTAAGGTACTTTCAGGTCTTTTGAAATTATGCCATACATATATCTAACGAATGCCTATTTTGGCTCGTCAGGATGATAACCACAAACTATTAAATCATCACAAGAAATATATCCCCTACCACCTTTTTTTCCTTTATATATGTATTCAGCTTTATCACCGAGAAAAAGATTTGTTAAGATATTAGTCTTACCTGATCCACTTTTTCCTGTAACTATCATTCTAAAGGGCCATGTTG